AGTTCTCGGCGGACACAACATCTTTGTTTGTATGTGGTGCTGAGGATCGAACCCCGGCCGCACGCATGCCAGGCGAGCGCGCTACCGCTTGAGCCACATCCCCAGCCCCATAAATCAATGGTTTTTAATATGTCTTTGTCTCAAAATGAAAAATAAAAAGCTGGGGATATAGCTCACTGGCAACATGCCCTATACCAAATAAATAAATCCTTAGTATCAAATAAATAAACATAAGGCTTTTTCATTGCTTTGTAGTCATATCCTGATAAACAAATCTGGGTCATTTTTCTTATTTATTCATTTGACACTAAATGACTCTAGACTGCAATTATTCAGTGCACCCTCAACATATGAAGATATGTCCCAAGTTGGGATCATTCATAAATGTGTACTGTGGGTTCTGCCTAATTACAGGATAGGTTTTAAGTGTTTTGAACAAAGACAGGATTTTGGAATCCACGGAAGAGGAAGGACTTTAAAGATTGCCTGATCTTAATCCTTGTTTTAGCAATGAAGGAAAAACTGAGACCAAAAGGAGATTAAATAGCATAATAATTGGAGTAAATGTGTTTTTAAAGTTATAACTCTTTGAAAGTGTAGGAGTTCTTTAATGTAAACTATAAAATGTTTTTTCAAACTCCGTATTTAGTAGTCATATTTGGTATATAGTCCCCTTTATCTTACTCTTGCTTCAAATTATAAATACATACTGGGACATGAATTCTTTCATTCCAATCATTTTATTAGCTATTCTGGAATAATGATTGCTTTTATAGCCTGGGCTTTCTCAACCTGTTTAATAGCTAGCCTACATTTTGACCTTATGGTAAAATTTATAATGCTGTTGCTTATCTAATATAAATAATATGCCTTATTCCTTGTTTCTCCTTTTTAGTGAGCATCACCAGTTTTATCCCACGTTTCAACTTTTTAAGCATAGATCTGCCAGTGATTGTGGAGACATTTGTTAAGTATCCTTTCTGGTATGAAAAAAAAGTTTTCAAAGTGTTGTTTGGAGTTTGGTTAGTTTTACTTTGAATAGAGTATTGGAACCTTACAAGTACCACTTAATTACTAACAACTAAAAAAGGAGACTTTAAAGAAGTTGAAAGAGCTTAGACTGTACCTGGGAGGGAAAAAGGAGAAAAAAAATTATCAGAAAGGGAGAAAAGTTAAGATCTATAAGGCAAGGAACCCTGAATACAAATTAAAAGTTGAATTTACAGGTCTAAAACCTTTTAGTAAGTTTATAAAGGATGAAAGCTTCGGTTACTAGTAAGGTGATGAATTCTGCCCATCTGAGCTTGTTAGTTTTGACCAAATGGAGGACAATTCTTACATACATAACCAGGAATTATGTAAATGCATTTCACTGGTCCACTAAGGAATGCCTAAGGAAGATCAAACCAGTTTACATTAATAAAATAGCAATTCAGAGGACAAAATCTCATATAGTCTTTAGCATATCCTGTTTGCATATAAAAGGTGAATTTTTTAATAGAAATTGATTATTATGTAATTGGAAGAGTTCTTTATTTTTGTCACTTTTAAATCTTTAACTTCCTTGATGATTTGGAACAAAATGAAATGGAGAACAAATGAGCAGTTACTCAAAAAAAAGTGTATAATCAAGATTGTATCTTGGAGACTCTGCAACTTTGTCAGAGATACTTAATGCTATAACCTTATAGATGATAATAAAATAAAGCAAGATTCAAGGGTCAAAAGCTTCATTTCCTCAAATGAAGAAAGTCTTTGTAAAGATCAAAAAGTAATTTGGGGACTGGGGGTAGAGCTCAGTGGTAGAGTGCTTGCCTAGTATGTGTGAGGCCCTGAGTTCTATCCCCAGCACTGTCAAAACAAAACAAAGTAATTTCCCCCCAATTTCTTATTCCTTCCACATTTCTTTCCATGGTGTCATTAAAGGATTAGAGAAGCTTAATCTTTCTAGGAGTTCATTATAAATTGATTTGTCTATAAGTGGTTTGCCTTATTTTTCTTGTCAAGATTTTTGAACTTCAAAATAATACAAACTCTTTTGTTTTTAATAATAGATATAATGGCAGAGATGTTAAAAAATAAAAAGTAGAGAAATCCATCGTAATCTCAAATTCAGTCCCAGAACAGTAACTTCTTGTGACTCACAGAAAGGTGGTTTCTACTCAGCTCACAGCTGGCTCCTTAACTGATTTTAACTCAGGTATCTGATTTCCCTCTCCGGAGCACTGGCTATTGTTAATGCAGTGCCCTGCTTTGCTTTGGATGGTCAGTGGATTTTAAACTCTTTCCTGGATGCCACCCTTACCTCAGTGATTGGAGACAATGATGTCAAAGATCTGGTAGGATTTATCATCCTACTTGGTGGCAGTGTACTTTTGGCTGCCAATGTGACGCTAGGACTCTGGATGGTTACAGCACGGTAATATTTGCATTCATCTGACAAGTCTCTGAGTTACAATATTCATCTACGTGGTAATGTCCATTGCCATTGAAATCATTACTTGGTATGAAATGTAAAGTGTTTCCTTAAAATTACATTTTGGCCTACATCTTTATGCTCCTCCTATATCCAGAGTACCCAAACTAATGGTAGAGGATGAGCAAAAGAAATGAAAGGCATAATCCCTAACTACATTCTAGTTTTAAAAACTGAATGTATGCATTTCACATTCTTGTGGAACAATTTTTAAACAATTTTTAAACATTCTTTTAATATCATTTTATGTGACTACATACTGTCTTGAAATAGTATAAAGGAGTACAGAATCAGTTGGAAGTAATTAGGAAAAACTTAAAAGCACCATTAATCTAGATTTAAGGAAGACCAGACTTTGGCCAAGTGGAAGGGTGAATGTGTTCTTGGTCTACATCACTTGTCATTTTTCTTGAAAAGTATTTTATAGTTTATTGGTGTATTATTTTGTACTTTGAAAACTGTGAGAAGTCTGATTTTAATTAAATTAATAAACTTCTAAAAAAGAATTTGCTTACATGAAAGGGAAAATCTTTGTCAAATGATAGCAAATAAAACCAAAATCGGAAACAGGGCCAATGATATGAGATGGTTTTGTCCCACAAGCATTATATTCATTGATAATGTATCTCCACATCATGAAGAAGCACTAACCTTTGATATTCAGAGCCAGCTGCATGAAGTGTCTCACACCAGCAGCTTGTGAGCTGAGGCAGTTAGGACCAAACCTCAGAGTCAACTGGGTCCTCTGACAGATCACAAGACGAACCCAGGATCTTCAGTAGACCTGGTTACCATTCTCTTATAGAGGTTTGAAGCTTAGAGCTCTTCCAGGGTAGACATTTTCTCTTGTGCTACCAAGGCCATCTGGGGCCTATCTTTAAGAAGCAACAACTTTAAACCCTGAGCCATACTCTGTCCTCACCAGCGGCTCCCATGTTTCTCTGTGTTGGGTAGTTAAGCACCTAGTCCTTGCTTTCTATCTCTCCCCTAAGCTACCTCTGCGGGTCCATAGAAGACTTGGTAGTATATTGAGAATGGCTGCATGTGAAAGGGGACAAACTTGGATTTGCCAGAGCCTAGGAACAGACTCTTGAATCTGAAAGAGCCATACCTGGTTTAAGGTCTTATGGAATGAAGATGCAGTACTGGGAAGTTTGGGAAGTCAACAGGCCATTGTGAAGCAGTTGGTCTTTGAAGTGTTATGAGCATGCTGGTTCTTTGATGAAAAATATACACTTCTCTCATACACTCAAGAGGTGATAAAAGGCAATAACTTATTAATAGCCATGTATCCAACTTCTTCACTAAGTGAGGTACTCTATGGATTACCTTTGTCAGATCATTAGTTGCTCTTTCAGCACTAAAACTTTTAAATCATTTTTAAGAAACTTTTTAGATTGTATTAGAATTTTACCTTGCTTCTTAAACAGAAATTATATTTTGAATAATTTTAATCTTTTAATAATGACTTGGGTCATCAGTCAATACCCCAGTACTAAAACCATGCAAATTATTCATTATCCCGGAAAACACTACTCTTAGGTAGAACAGTCATTCTGGACCAAAATATATTAGCCTAGTAATGCTTAAACCTGTTTTGGTAGTAGACCTTAGAGAATGCTCATGAAATACTTATGTAATTAACTTGTTTACATTTGAATTAAGCAGTTTACTAATGAAAATGTATGTGTGCAAGTCAATTTTTTAAAAATTTAGGGAAAAAATTATGTGTGTGTGGTGCTGGGGATTGAATCCAGGGCCTCATGCATGCTAGGCAAGCGTTCTGCCACCGAGCTATACCCCAGCCCAAGAAAAAAATTTAATACAGGAAATCCTATCCATTAGCTTCTTTTTCTGGATAAAAACAAAAACGCAATCTCATATTATTTTAGCTTTTAAACACCTTGCTCTGTTGATCCATAGGGTTAGGATTTGGAAATACTGTCATAAGAAATTGAGCAGATCAGTACTGTTTGTATAGAAATGGCCTCATTGTATAAAAAAAGGAAATGTTATGTGTTGTTTTTTTAGCTTGACTATGGGCTCTTCTAGATCAAGGACTATGTCATATTCAGCTTTGCATCCCTGGCACAGTGCATGAGACATCATAAGTACTTAATTAATGTGGTTGGATGGATGGTGATTAGTGTTATTTATGGATTAGAAAAGCATGTTTCTATTTAAGCTGTAAAGTATTATTGAATATTTACTGTAAATATATGTTAACATAAAAAAAGAAAAAACCTTGGAAGCTCTTTATGTCCCTGGCATATTATCATCTTTCTGGAAAGAATTCATTTTGGTTTCTGTACAGTGATTAGAAAAAATTAATTATTTTGAGGATTTGAAGAAACTGTTCTGTGTTGTCACTTTGTTCAACAGTTAAACTTTTATTCTCAGTGTTCCTACTCTGCGTTGTTTACATTTTTGAAAGTTTTTTTAATCACCTACACTCTGTAGAGAATGTATATATTTTTTTCAGCGTCTCAGTTTGAAAAGACATGCAGTTAAACCTGATCTTTTAATAATATAATAACTCTGCTAGGTCTTTGTCTGTTCCAATAGCAAATTGTAAATGTGTGCTTCATGGTTATGTGATTTTCAGCCATCATTTTGTCCTATGGTATTTATTGAATGTCCACATACTGATGGTACATAGGTATTTTTTTTTCTGTAGATCTTTTGACCGTGCTGTAATTCATTCTTAAGCTTTAACTTGAAGATATCATAATTGCCAGTGTTTGGTGTTTAGCAATAAAAAAAAAAATAAATGTTTATCAGCATTTTATGTTTATCATAATCTATGTGTTGTCTTTTTTAAAAAATTGTACTCTGTTCTGTCAAAATTGTTCTGCTTACATAGAGTAAGATCTTAATCATTTAAAAATTCCTGATCTAAAAGTAGCCTTCAGTTTTTATTCATATAAAAATTGTTGCAGGCCTTGAAAAGAAATCTTTTAAACAAGATTCCTGTGTTCACTATTATCTTGGAAATGGCTGGTTTGTGGATGAAGAAAAAGGGCTATCATGTTCCTTAGTGTGGACAGAATTCTCCTGTAAGTTCATCTGTGTTTTGGGGAATTCCTGAAAAAAAGCATTTTAACTGTAACATTTGGTTTCTTCTTGACCTTTTGCCCCCGTGCTTCCTCCCTTGTTCCTAAGACCAACCTTCCCCCATCCCTGCCTTCCTCCCCCCCCCCTCTCTCTCTCTCTCTCTCTCTGTGTGTGTGTGTGTGTGTGTGGTGTTCTCTCAGCTGGGAATTTAGCCCAGTTCCTGATTAGCTAGCCTCATTCACTCCTCATCTCTGATCATGTTACACTACAGTTAAGAGCCACAAAACTAAACCACTTTTTTAAAAACACCTCTATTGAGCGGCTGGGGCTGTAGCGCACGTGCCTGGTATTTGTGAGGCACTGGGTTCGATTCTCAGCACCACATATTAAAAAAATAAATAAAGATCTATCAGCAACTGAAAAATATAAAAAATATCTTTATTGAGATAAATACTATAAAATTCACCCATTTGAAAGTGTGCGATTCAATGTAGAATCATTTTTCTTTTAGTGTCTTATCAAACAAAAGCATACATGTGTGTTATGGTTTGGGTATGAGATATCTCCCCTAAAACTTTTGTTAATGAAAGAATCTTCAGAGTTGTAATGATTAGATTGTGAGAGCTGTGACCCCCTAGTTTGAATGAAGTAACTGGGTGGTAACTGTAGGTAGGTGGGGCATGGCTGAAGGAGGTGGGTTGCTAGGGGCATGCCTTAGGGATTATATTGTTTTCCCCTGGCTCCTCTTTTCTTCTTTCTCTGCTTTGTGGCTACTGTGAGATGAGAGGCTTTCCTTCACCACACCCTTCAACCATGATGCTCTGTCTCATCTTCCACAGCAATGGAACTGACCAACCATGAACTGAACTTCTGGAACTGTGAGCTAAATTTTGTTTTCTCCTTTAAGTTATTCTTTTCAACTATTTTGGTCACAGCAACAAAAACTTGACTATATACTTTATTTTAGTCTAACTGAATACTTGTACCTCTGATAAGACTGGGAGGAAAACAATTGCATTCAATTATTTCACAACTATATTAACCTGGGGTGGTTTTTAGCACCAGAATAAAGTTGAAGTAAAGGCAAAGTATGCGGATATACTTTCTTTGAGAAAAGCCTTTTTAATCAGTACACTTCCAACTCCTCTTACTATTTAGGAAATACTAATTTGAATAATCCATTGTATATTTTATCAGGCCATGTCAGATGAATTCAATGAAAGGAAAGACTATTTTGGAATCTAGTGCTACAATAGGTTACACTCAGAGTGGAGGTAGAGAAAAATGTCTAAAGGAAGTTGTAATTCTAATTACAAAACAATTAATAATATTGTATATTTCAATTTCCCACTAAAGGGAGGGAATCCTTAATAAGTTTATTTAGCTATTAACATATAATCAATAATTGTCCTGTCTTATTAACTGAATACTTCTCAAACTTTTCTATTGATGTGTTACATTGTAATAGAGGGAAAACCCAGAAGGATCTAAGAATATAATTCTGTAATTGACCCTCCACAGTATAAAACTGAAGTCTCACTTTATCTTAAATTCAAGTGGATTTCGCATTCCATTAATCAGCTATCATAAAGCTAGCTCTCCTCTTAAAGATATGAAATGCTATACTATAAAAGATTTAGATCACAAGAATATTAAGATTTTCACCCTTCTAAAACCTATTGATGTAAAGTAGTTTATAGCAGCTGATCTATATATTACTGTTATCTATGATGGTACTTTGTTCCATCTGTAGTGAAATTAGAAAAAAGATTGTGTGTATTTTCTTTAGTTGCAACAATGTATGTGTGATGCTATAAGTCTGCCTGCTACCCTTTATCAAAGTGCTCCCCTTTATTGCAGTATGGAAACAATTTCTTTAGCACTGCCAGATTGTACTCTATAATGGCTTTTTTATTTATAACTGACATTTTTAGGGACAAAGCATGAGGTTTCTATGTTTTCCTATACCCTTATCTCCTACTAAGTTATCTGACTTCCAGGTTTTGACAAATCTATTGGATATAAATTGACAATTCTAAGCAATTTATGTTTCTTAGATTATTCCTTTTTCTTGGCGAGGCAGGTACCAGGGATTGAATTCAGGAGCACACAAACACTGAGCCAAATCCCCAGCCCTATTTTTTATTTAGAGCAAGGTCTCGCTGAGTTGCTTAGCACCTCAATTTTGCTGAGGTTGGCTTTGCATTTGCTATCTTCCTGCCTCTGCCTCCCTCCCCAGCTGCTGGGATTACAGGTGTGCAACACTGTGCCTGGCTTCCTAGATTATTCTTAAAGTTGCACACCCATATACTTATTTGTCCATTTCGATTTTTCATTCTGCCAGTTGCTCATTGCTATCCATTGCCCAGCTTTCCACTGGGTATCCTAATTTCTCTTATTGATCCATAGGAATTCCTTATATATTCTAAATCATTGATCAACAGACTACAGCTTGTAAGCCAAATCCTGATTACTATGGATTTTTGTAAATAAAATTTTATTGGAACACAGCCACATTCATTCATTTACATCTTGTCTGACTGCTTTTTTTCCTACAATGGCTGAGTTGAGCAATTGCAGCAGAGATTGTATAGCCCACAAAACCTAAAATATTTGTTATATTTTATAAATCCACAAAAGAACCCATGTTCCAGATATCAATCTCTTGCCCATTTAAGATGTTGCAGATATATTCAGCAGGCTGATGCAAGAGTGTCACAAGTTTGAGGCAGCCTGGGCAACTTACCCAGACTCTGCCTCAAAGTTTATAGAAAAGGGCTGCAATTTAGCTTAGTGGTGGAGCACTTGCCTAGCTTGCACAGATTCCCTGGGTTTGATCCTCAGTAGCAGGGGAAAAAATGTTGCAAAGGATTTTTCACAGGCTATTACACATCTGTTAATTTTATTTATGAGGTCCTTTGTTGAGTAGGATCTTTAGTTTGATACATTCTAATTTATTAATTTCTTGGTTTATTATTTGTGGGTTTTTTTAAAGAGAGAGAGAGAATTTTTTAATATTTATTTTTTAGTTCTTGGCGGACCCAACATCTTTGTTTGTATGTGGTGCTGAGGATCGAACCCAGGCTGCATGCATGCCAGGCGAGCGCCCTACCACTTGAGCCACATCCCCAGCCCCATGTTTTGTGCATCTTATTTAAAACCCTATCCTGTTCCAAAGTCATAATAATATTCTACATTTTCTTCTCTATTTTAGAGTCATACTTTCACAAGGAGATTTTTTTTAATAACTTTATTTATTTATTTATTTTTATGTGGTGCTAAGGATCGAACCCAGGGGCGAGTGCTCTACCTCTGAGCCATAGCCCCCCAACCCCCTTTAACATTTATTTTTTAGTTGTAGTTGGACACAATACCTTTATTTTATTTATTTATATGTGATACTGAGGATCGAACCCAGGGCCTTGCACATGCCAGGTGAGCACTCTACCGCTAAGCCACCACCCCGGCCCTGCACAAGGAGATCTTTAACTCCTAAAAGATAAGGTATAAAGTAAGGAACCCAGACTTATTTTTCTATGTAGATTTAACTATACTTAAAATAGACATAATAGTATTTTTCATTATAAGATTTTTTAATAAAAATTTAAAGTTCTTAATATGGTGCCTAGCATACTCAAGTGTTATATACTTAAATGACTTATTTTCAGAATACAGAATTATGATATGCTTTGTCCTGATAGTTCAGTCCTCATTAGTGTTAGGTGCTGCCTTATTTTGGTATGCCTTCGAGATTTCCAGTGCTTTCAGACTGGTTCTGGTTTTCCAGAGTATCTTCCAGGCCTTGCCCACCCCCACCCACTTTTTTGTGGTGCTGGGTTAGAGCCTTATACATGCTATGCAAGCATTCTACCATTGCACTGCATCACCAGATCTTTTTATTATTTTTTTTTAATTTTGAGACAGGGTCTTATCAAGTTATCCAGGTTGGTCTCAAATTTGCAATTCTTCTTCCTCAGCACCCCAAGTAGCTGGAATTATAGGCCTATACCACTGCATCCAGCTGGCCTTGGTCCTTTAAAGTATTTCTTCCCCTGACCAAAAATCACAATATTTAAGCTATTGGTTAAGGATTTTGCTTATTGAAACTGGTCAAGGGCTGGGATTGTGGCTCAGCAGTAGAGCCCTTGCCTAGCACAGGTGGGATCCGGGTTGGATCCTCAGCACCACATAAAAATAAAAAGGCATTGTGATGTGTCGATCTAAAACCTAATAAATAAATAAATAAATAAATAAATAAATTTTTTTAAAAAAAGAAACTGGTCAAAATAAGCCGGGTCCCGTAGCTCATGCCTATAGTCCTAGCAGCTCTGGAGGCTGAGGCAGGAGGATTGCAAGTTCAGAGCCAGCCCCAGCAAAAGCAAGGTGATAAGCAACTCAGTCAGACCCTGACTCTAAATAAAATACAAAATAGAGTTGGGGATGTGACTCAGTGGTTGAGTGCCCCTGAGTTCAATCCCTTGTAACAAAAAAAAAGAAAGAAAAAGAAACTGGTCAAAATAACCTGTGTTCAAGGGAGTGTTCATTGATGGTAACATAACTAATATTTAAATCTGGTTTTATGAAAACAATAGCTTAACAGAAGGAGACACTGCAGCAAATCATTATTGGAGAGAATTTGGGCAGGATATCCTTTTTTATTAATTAATTTTATTTTTACACAAATGGAGCATAACTTTTCATTTTTCTGGTTGTATATGATATAGAGTCACACCATTCATACAGTCA